ATACCAAGCATCGGCCTCTGGGTGTGAGGTGCCAAAAACTGCATTTCCACTAGTGTCCACTTGAGGCAGAGTCAAAAAGTGAGTCAGTTCCTATAGACTTCCATGATAAAATGTCCAACTTTACAGCAGAAATAAAGACAGATTGATATAAATATATATATATAAAAATATAAAAAAAAAGTTAAAATAATAATAAAATAATAATAATAATATATATATATAAAAATATATATAAAAAAATAATAATAAAAATAATAAAAAAACCACTTAGATGTGTAGCACCTCGCATCACCACCAACGTTACATCATATGCTCCACACAGACAATGAAGAAGAAAAACTGTAAAAATAAACCAAATAAACAGACTGTAACAAACCGTGGCAGACCTGCTCTTCAGCCTCACACACTGACAACAACAACACCACAGCAGGACCCAGTTCACACAGCGGCACCGCAGACCACGCCCCCGCCACACTGATGTAATATGAAAACACGAAACTACGAAAGATGTTCATGTATTACTAAAACATGACAAATTATGACAGAACAGTTTGGCGCTGGTGTGGTATCTATGTGATTATATTATTTATACATTGTGTGCTATTCAGGTTTTTAAATATACTGCCCGCATTTCTTTCTCTCTCCAGGTTGGAAGAGGCTCTGTCTGACTACATCTGGGCACAGAAACATATGCGAGAGAACGTAGTGATCGACTACAAACAGCTGGGACTGAGATTTAAACTGTACAGCTGGCAGGTCTGACATTCAGCCTCACCTACACACACCTCGACACAAGGACACACCTTCATCAAGGATTCGGTTCAGTGCACATTAAAACGCCATAAAAAGGAAATTCAGCCCCGTGCGGTCTCATCACCACCTTTGTGTAGTTCAAATATCAGCCACACACCTGTGAGCTGTCAAAGCCTCGTTAATGGAAGAAGACACACGTGATGGTTTTGTTACTGGTTCCAAACAACAGTGCCACTGTGTGTGCCACTGTGAGTTTTAAACATTTCATCATCAGATACAGTCAGCATAACGTAAACTACATAACAGCTGTGGTGGTTGTCCAGACAATCGTCCACAAGAATCATACATATCCAGTTTACCAGCTCAGCTGCTGCTCAGCGCTCAGCGAACATCTGAAATAAAGCAGTTTCATTTCATTTTAAATGCCAAATCTATTCTGAAGAAACAACCTGTCATTCACCAGAAGTTGTTTGAATGCACTAAAATGGGTAACTGTGATATGTTCCAAGGTGTTATACAATGCAGCAGCTGTGTATTGTCAGATGGGCCAGTGGGAGCAGGCCAGGGACGTCCTGCTGTCAGCCTCCCAGGAGAAAGGACCAGGACGAGGGGGGAGCATGGAGGCAGCTTTGGAGAGCATCAGGGTGAGTTCATTTGTTTTTAGGTTTAAGGTTAAAGACTACTTGGTACGATCCTGGTTTAGCTGAAAAAAAGACCCTGTTGGAAAACCGAACATGTCACAAAGCCTTCCTCAGGTTTTATGGTTACCATGGTATTTATTATTGTCCAATCAAATGGACCAGCAGTGAGAATTTTACATGACAAATGACTGCAGAAAGTGCCGATGGAGTCACCTGTTGTTGGTTTAAATAAAACAAATATTTCACCAAACAAGACTTACAATGACGTCTAAAGCCTAGACTTAAAAAATGAAATATAGGTGCTTAAGTACAAGTGGTGATTTTATTATTCCAAAGTAATATTACAGTAAGACTGTCGCTAAGTAAATCCCAAGAGTTGATTGTGTCCATCTGGACGTAGAGTTTTCAGGGGGAGAAACGTTTCGTCATCATCAGCTGACTGCAGGTTTCCAGCCTTATAAACGGGATATTTGCACAGTGACTGACACCAGCACCACTGCATGAACACGGTGCTGGGAGTCAGTTTATGATCATGAGACTCTTTACTATAACTTTAAAAACAGAGTAAGCAGGCCCTGGATCCTCTCCTGGTACCTGAGGGTGTGGTGTTTCGTCCCAGGAAACAGGATGTGGAGCAGCTGCAGCAAAGAGACTTCTTGGGAAAAGCAACGGTACGTAGAGAGTGCCTGTGGTACACGTGTTTATCCATCCATTCGTTTTCTTCTGACCCTCTTATCCCTGCCGTCACACAGTGAGAAGGCAGGGCACACCCTGGCCATGGTGCCAGCCTGTTGCAGGGCTAACACTTTTAGAATCAGCAATTAACAGTTCAGTTCAATTTTAACGAGATAACGAGAGGATGGGCAACAGGTGGAGACGCAGCTGGAATCAATCAGACAGAGGACAGAGGAAGCAAAACAGAACACGATACACACAAAATAAACTAGAAACAGATCCAGAGAGAGGACAGAGACAAGACTAGGAAGACAAGCACAAAGACACTGAATGAACACAGAGAGAAGATGCAAAAGGAACTAAACAACCTCAATTCAATCTGCATCTGTCATGTTGAGTGCTATGCAGCAGGCAGGAAGGAGGACTCAAGTGCAGCAGAGGGAGAGTGAACTTAATGCGCAGCTTTATTCACAGGAACAACAACTTGGCAAAGAAACAAACTTCACAAAACAAACCAAAACCTCAAAAATGAAACCTAGACTGAACTGAACTGACGGGAGGAAACGCAGCACAAACCCTAACCTTCAAAGTAAAACAGGAAACACACCGACTGAACTTACAGACTCAGAGACACAAGCTGACAGACAGGGATGACCCGGACAGGCACAGAGACGACACGAGGACAGAGGCTGAACGGCGAACAGGAAATGTCAAAATAAAAGAAGGAGCACAGAGAACAGAGGAAGCATCAAAACCTAAGAAGCAGAAATTCACCAGAAACATAACAAGAACTAAACTGAAACAAAAGATGATATTAATCGAAACATCAACACTGAGTCACCAACGCCAGGACAGCATCGAGCGACATACAACATAACGACATAAATGACTGTAAGACAACAAGGTTCAAAAGTCCACAAACTCAAAATGCTGAACTATGACAATTTGATTATTGAAATGATTAAGATGTGCCCTTAAAATACGCTTAAATGAATCCTGGCACATGTATCAGGTTATTTTAACCCAAACAAACCGATAAGTGTAGCTCATTAAAGTAAATATAAACGTCGGCCCTGACTAAATGTATGACAGCTGAAATATGACTAAAACACGTCATTTAAACTGCACTTTATATTCATTCATGTGTAATGCTCTCCCTTTGCAGGTGATTTCCTCCATGATACCCAATGATGATTTTGGAGGCTTTGAGCCTTTGAGGCAGCAGGTGAGCCTGACCACAGCGTATGTGTGACGTTACTGTGAGCTGCTGCAGATGCTAACTGTCTTTGTCCTCTGCACAGAAACCTGGCTTCTATGAGCCGAATGTGGATGGAGCTCAGTGAGTTTGTTACGTGATGACACAGAATATGTGTGTGGCCGATGCTGCTACAGGGCTACAGCAAAGCCGTGCTTGTAGATTTACAGCTTATTTTGTCTGTTACCTGTTAGGGATTCTCGATACATGCAAGTGCGTGTCCCTTACATGGCACGAGGACCAGGACAGCTGACGGTGCCTGGAGGTGCGACGGTGTTTTTATTTGGAGAGGAGAACAGAGATGGGATGGCCACTGTCATATATGATGGACAGGTGAGGAGTGACCTGCAATCTGAAACAATGAAAGAGGGTTTTGAATCTGACAATAAGAATATTATAGTAAGTGGATTTAATCACTTTTATTTAAGCAGCAAAGATTCAAGAACATGGAAGAGACAATAAAAGTGAAACTTTAATTCAAAATAATCTGTATTCAGTTTCTCTCTGGATGAGTTTGAAGTCAAAACCTTTGTTAATATGTGCAAAAATTAATTATGTGCTGATTGCAATGGTACTGATAAAAGTAGTTGATGGTATTTCAGAGCTCTTAACATATTTTTGCAACTTATCTCTTTGAACTGGTTCATTTCCAAATGAAATGAAAAGTGTGAAGTTATACCACAGTTTAAGACTACAGGCCAGCATCACTCCTCTCCCAATGTTCTAACATTATTTTGATCATAAATATGATTATCACTTTAAACAGATTGACTCTGGCCTTCTAAAGCAGGGGTCCCCAATCCCAGTCCACGAGGGCCGGTGTCCTGCAGGTTTTAGATGTCTCCTTGATCCATCACAGCTGATTTAAATGGATAAATGACCTCCTCAGCATGTCTTGAAGTTCTCCAGAGGCCTGGTAATGAACTAATCATGTGATTCAGGTGTGTTGACCCAGGGTGAGATCTAAAACCTGCAGGACACCGGCCCTCGTGGACTGAGATTGGGGACCCCTGTTCTAAAGGTTCCTAGAGCCAGAAATAAGACAACTGGAGAGCTTTTTCTTTTTGTGCCCCGTCTCTGTGGAACAGCCTCCCTCAAGACCTTAGGCAGGCGTGCTCTGTGCAGGTCTTTAAAAGTCTTAATTCTATGGCTTTGAGTTTTTACATTTTTACTGTGTTTAACTTGTATTGCTATGTATCGCTTTTATTTTATTTATCCCTTTAGTTTCTGATAGTTGGACAGCACTTTGTTTGAAAGCGCTTTATAAATAAAGTTATTATTATTATTTATATTTTATATAAATCTTAATATGTATTCATTCCTGCTCAGGTTCTTGAGCATGTATTCTTTTGCTGTCACAATACTGAGAATTTCTGTATACAAGCTTTATTTTTATTTCTACAAATCTAATTTTTAGTCGTTTTTTGCAGAGAGGACTTCTGCCAGCATCCCTTCTTGAACCAGCAGATGTCAAGACGTCCAAAGGCAAAAAGGACACTGTAATATACTTCTCTTTGACTAACACAACACACAGTATTCATGTTCATGCCGTCCATTTAAGAGCTTTAATGGAGGCACTTTACAGATTGATCAAAATGACATTCTTGCTAAGTTCTTCTCTGCTTCACCCACCGAGATGAGACAGCACAACTGTTGTGTCTGGTGACATTAAATGGATTAAAGGCAATTTCAACAAAAAATCCAAACTTCTGCTCTGTGACAAATCTGTTTTCATTGTGGAAAGAAAACTCTTCATTATTTATTCTCCTGTTCTGCTTCCTTCCACAGAGAATTTCCAGTGGGATTCCCCTCCCACCAGGACTCAAGCCACCCACTCGCCCACAGTCTCAGCATAGTCCTGCAGCTCCTCCTCAGGGTAAAAATCACTCACACTCTGGTTTATCTTAAACCTTTTTTCATTTCATTTGCTCCTTCAAAGCAACTCTCCGCTGTGAGAGATCATCCCAACGTTACAGCAATGTTTTCTCTGTTTGGTCTCGTGGCTTCATGTTTGCCAGATGGCCCTGTAATTTTAATCTTCCTGGAAGATTTTCTTAACATAAAATATAAAAATACAAAATCTTTATGATGAAACTTGTAATTATGGTTGTAATCACAGTACTCTTAAGATTTGCAGTTGTATTGCATTGTTAACAAGACGGACATGAAACCAGGAAAAGGATTACGGTGTGATTTTTTTTATTTAAAAGTAAATCTTCTGCCAAATTGTTGTATATGAACGACAGCAGCCGCCAGTTTGTTTCATGCTCTGATGAACAAGGATAAAATATTAAAATGTCTGTTGACATGGCAACATAAATTGGTATAGCTGTTTTGTGCTAGTACTAACTTTTGGATACCTGGAGTTGCACCACAGATGAAGTATGAATCAGAATCAGAATCAGAATCAGAAAGGGTTTATTGCCAGATGTTGAGCAGGTTTACAACATTAGGAAATTGCTGCGGTGCTTCAGTGCAACATACTGTCATAAAAATATAAAAATAAGAATAAGAATTAAAAGTGCTAAGTGGATAGATATATACATGATATATACATGAGTGCAGGTGGTGATCAGTGCCAAACATGGAATGATGCAGTGAACACAGCGTAGGGTCATGTGTTAGTGGTGGGAACAGTTATACGGTTATTGTTCATGTGTCCAACAGCAGAGGGGAAGAAACTGTTCTTATGGCGAGAGGTTCTGGTGCGAATGGACCGGAGCCTCCTGCCTGAGGGGAGCAGGTCAAACAGACTGTGTCCAGGGTGAGAAGGGTCAGCTGAGATCCGAGCTGCACGCCGCAGTGTCCTGGAGGTGTACAGGTCCTGCAGAGATGGGAGTCTGCAGCCAATCACCTTCTCAGCAGAGCGCACAACACGCTGCAGTCTCTGTTTGTCCCTGATAGTGGCTCCAGCGTACCACACGGTGATGGAGGAGGTGAGGATGGACTCGATGATTGCAGTGTAGAACTGCATCATCGTCCGTGTTGGCAGGTTGAATTTCTTCAGCTGCCTCAGGAAGTACATCCTCTGCTGGGCTTTCTTGATGACGGAGGTGATGGTGGGCTCCCACTTCAGGTCCTGGGTGATGGTGGTACCCAGGAAGGTGCATCCTCCTCACAGACTGAATTAGTACTGAAAAGTAAAGCTTTGTAAAACACAGCAGCCATATTTGTGTCAGTTTTGCTGGTGAAAGAGGACCTAGAACGCAGGATCAGAGCAGGCAGGGATAAAACGAGAACGGCCCTTTATTGGAGGCATAATAGCAACTAAACAGGAAGCAGTAAAAATGCCAAACTCCATGAGAAACTTTGGAAATGCCAGGGAAACACTTGGAGGATCTGGGGAACAGAACTAGAGGAACCGTGGAAAAATAAGAAAGAGGAATGCTAACAGTATCATAAGTACTCTACAGATTAAAGAACACAGTGTGATGAAAACGTAAACGGGACTGAGGGTGACAAAGGATGTAAACACATATAAAATAATTAGGGAGGGGGAGACACCATGGAGCACAGCTGGAACTAATCAGGGAAACAAAGCAGGGTGAACTATGCTAAAATGAAACTATGCTAAAATGAAACTATGCTAAATAGAAACACTGCTAAAATGAAACTATGCTAAATAAGATAAGATAAGATAAGATAACCTTTATTAGTCCCACACGTGGGAAATTTGTTTTGTCACAGCAGGAAGTGGACAGTGCAAAAGTTATGAGGCAAAAATTAGAATACAATAAGAATAAATACAGTACACAACTGTACAGAATAGAATAAAATAACTATATACAGTAGAATAAAATAAAATAAATATACAATAAGATAAAAATAGAATACAAATACAAATACTATATACAACTGAGTAAAAATACAACGATGACAGAAAGGATTATTGCACTTAGTATTATTGCATATGTATGGATGTGTGTGCTTGATCAGTTAAAGTCTTTATTATGGAGTCTGACAGCAGTGGGGAGGAAAGACCTGCGAAATCTCTCCGTCCCACACCGTGGGTGCCGCAGTCTCCCACTGAAGGAGCTGCTCAGTGCTGTCACAGTCTGCTGCATGGGGTGGGAGATGTTGTCCAACAGGGATGACAGCTTAGCCGCCGTTCTCCTGTCACTCACCACCTCCACTGGGTCCAGAGGGCATCCTAGAACAGAGCTGGCCCTTCGGATCACCCTGTTCAGTCTCTTCCTGTCCCCAGCAGAGATGCTGCCGCCCCAGCAGACCACACCATAAAAGATAGCAGAAGCCACACACAGAGTCATAGAAGGTCTTCAGGAGTGGGCCCTCCACCTCCAAACGACCTGAGTCTCCGCAGCAGGTACAGCCTGCTCTGCCCTTTCCTGTAGAGGGCGTCTGAGTTATGAGTCCAGTCCAGTCTAGTTGTTCAGATGAACACCAAGGTACCTGTAGCTGTCCACAGCCTCAATGTCCATACCTTGGATGTTCAGTGGTTGCAGTGGAGAATGCTTGTGCCTGCGGAAGTCTACCACCAGCTCCTTGGTTTTACTGGCGTTGATCTGGAGGTAGTTCAGCTGGCACCAGTCCACAAAGTCTTGGGTCAGTCCTCTGTACTCCTTGTCGTCCCCATCAGTGATGAGGCCGACTATTGCAGAGTCATCAGAGAACTTCTGCAGGAAGCACTGGGTGGAGTTGTGGGAGAAGTCTGCAGTCCTTGGGGCGTGAAGTCTTTGGCACTGGTACAACACAGGAGGTTTTCCAGAGCTGTGGGACTCTTCCCAACCTCAGGCTCAGGCAAATAGAAACAATGCTAAATAGAAACAATGCTAAATAGAAACAATGCTAAATAGAAACTATGCTAAATAGAAACAATGCTAAATAGAAACAATGCTAGTTGGCTTTTGCCATTGCCAGCTTGTTCTGAAAATAGATGTGATGGCGAGGGGTCATTTGACTGTTAAACTTCATGCTCAGTAACCAGTGACTTGACAAACACAAGTCATTAGCCAGTGGTCATATCCTGAAAGAGAAAATCCTTTCTGACACTTTAAATGAACAAAATTTATAAAAGAACTTCTTTTATTTCATGAAATCAGTAATGATCTGATGTGTAACCAGGTGATATGACAAACTGGGTCTGCTGTGAAGGCCTTATGAAGTTTCTTGTTGACCTGATTTCAGGCTCATTGGAAAACTCAATTGCCCGCCTCTGCCATAAACTAATCAGGAATGTCTTTTCCAAAACAAACTATTGGTATCACCCTGTGGTGATCATTAAAGCCAATGCAGATTTTGTTAAGGTACGTCTGTACTTATTCATATTCAGTAAGCCTGTGCATGTTGTGTTGATAAAACGTGATTGAAACATGTTTAAATGAAGTAAGTTGAGCTCTTGAAATATTTTAATCCTTCACAATTTTGTCATTTTACTCCAACACTATTCATTAACTTTTACCCCAGTACTACTTGGGCACTTAAATAATTACATTTGTCTTCATATTACATAATGTTCAACAAAGTGTAGAGTCTGGTTAACATAAAAGCTGAATGGATTTACAGCCACTACCATCCTCCTAGCTTTATCCGGGTTGCAGGGGTATAACCCAGAAGTGACAGGTTAAGAGGCAGAGTGCGACCTGGATAGCTCACCAGTCTATCACATAGAGACAAACAACCACTTACATTCACACTTTAGGGTAATTTGGAATCACCAATTAACCTAGCTCTAATAACTGCATGACTTTGAACTGTGGGAGGAAGCCAGAGTCCTCAGACAGAACCCACTGCAAACTGGATTTGAACCCATGTTCTTGCTATGAGGCAACAGTGCTAACCACCACGCCACCAAGCTGTCAATCTAGGCTCAACAAAAGTAGGAAAGGCTATGATTTCAAGGCTTGATGCAGAATTCTTCTGTACGTTTTTGTCCTTGACAGGTTAAACCACAATAAATAGTGTCGAGCATACATGGTGTGTGTGTAGTTGCCTTTTAAAACTCCAGGGATTTTCCTGCAGTTTGAAATCTCGTGCGATCTTGTGAATTTCTTGAGTCCAGCAACTAACCACTTTCACTAGATTGCATCACGTCATCTCAACAAGAACAAATTAAGTTGTTGAATTTCATAAAGATCCTACATGATTTAATTACGTTCACCATAGAAACATGAAATTATTTTCAAATTACAAGTTAGACTTTTGATGCATCTCAATCATCCAGGAAAGTAAATCTCCAAAAGTTGATTCTGTTCATCTGGACGCAGCGTTTTGTGGGAGAAACGTTTCGTCATCATCAGGTGACGTCTTCAGTCTCAGCTGACTGCAGGTTTCAATCTTATAAACAGGACATTTGCATAATGACTGAAACCAGCCCACTGAAGGAACAATGGGCTGGGAGGGCAGTTCCTTAATCTTAATTATGCAAA